TTTAATTCATTTTTTTATAACCTCAGTGTCTAGGGCACAGAGAGGCTCTATGGATGTTGAATTAATGAATGAATGCCCATAAGTCATGAGTTTTTTCTATTCCAACACACTGTTAAATTCCCTCAACTATCGTTCTTACTGAAACAAATGCTGAACAAGACATAGAGTAGGACTTATATGTATGTTGACACTTTCTTCTTTCCCAATGAATTAATTTCATCTAATTCAGTTAACCATCCTTACTTTTAAATTACCTCAGTGCACACTGAACCCATGCTTAGGGAAAAATAGGGCCTGATTTACTGAAGTGTTATCTCATTCCCTTTGCCAATAGTTTCACTGGGCTTACTTCTTGTGTATGTTTTGGGTTTTTTTTTTCCCCCTTCCCTTATGTAATTTCACTGGATATTGGGCTAAGAAGAGAAGCTCTTCAAGTTGGCTTTAAAGGACAAAGACATTTTTTTATTTCATCTTTGATTTGCTTAGCAGATGATTTTATTTCATCTTTGATTTGCAGTCTTCATGTTGGTTGATTAAGCACTTCAACACTGTTATCAAGGACCCAGATATTTTGCATCTTTCCACAAGGAAAGCATCAGTGTCACCTTAGCAAGACATCAAGGGTCATTTCAAATGCTATATGAAAGCATGACAATTTCAAGAGGAAATAAAGAACACAATGAAAAAAAGCTTTCCCCAGATTACTGATAGCAGGCTTATCCTAATGTTTCATTGGCCCTGATTAAGTCATATTTCTGATCTAATTACATGCTCCTTATTCTCCTGGTTATAATACTAGACTATTTTTTTTTTTGCTTGTTGTCAGTTTTTGTTTCCTCAGACAAGCTTTAATATCTCTTGTTGTTAATTAGTAAAATGGTAGCACTTAGTCTTGAAACTGTAGATCTTTCTAATATTTATGAAGAAATGCCAGCAAGATTTTTTTAAAAAAGGAAATTATCTTTTTTTTACTCCAGCCATAGAAAAGCAGCTATTATTTTACATCACAATTTCCATGTTAAAGTTAATGCTAACAAAGGAACTTGGTAAAATAGCTGAATTTCAGCAATGGTTCTACATTATAAAGAATAACCTTTAGTCCCTAAAGTTTTTGTAATTTTGATTGATTGGCCTATTTTATAACTTATTGTCCTGGCAATGGTATTTACATTAAGATCACTGTTTTTGAAAATATATAAAGATTTGTGAGTTTGTCAGGCCACAAGAGGTTAATTGACATTTCCTTCTTTACCCACATGCATGAAAGTAAAAACAAATAATATATGAGTCTTTGGAAACCTTGTTTTTTAAAAAGAAACTATTGCCAGACGAACGAAAACTGAGAGAATTTGTCAACAACAAACTCAGAATAAAGTAAATGCTAAAGGGAGTTTTTCAGGCAGAAGAAAAATAATCCCAAAAGGAATAAGGCAATTAAGAAGGAATGGAGAACAACGGAAAAGTAAATAAAAATGTGGACAAATGTATATGACTATTGACTATGTAAAAAATAGCAATGATATGTATGGGGTATAAAATATATATGAAAGTAAAAGTGCATGCAAGAATAACAAAATGTGAGAAGGAGTAAGATGAATTGTAAGGCTGTAATATTATTTGGGAACTAGTACAAGTCAGAGTTGTCCCATTGGAATGTAATGTAAGCCACATACACAATTTTAAATTTTAGAAGTCACACTAGAAAAAGTAAAATGCAATAAATATAGTCAATTTTAATGTATTTTATCCAACCAAAAATATGATAATTTCAATATGTAACCAATTTAAAACTTATTAATGAGATATTTTATATATTTCTGTACTAAATCTTCAATTTTACGCATGTATTTCAGCAAATCTCAATTGCAGCCAGCCACAATTCAAGTGCTCAATAACCACATATAACTAGCAGCTGCCATATTAGACAAAACAACAGTGTTAGGCTCCAGTTCACGGAAAGAATGTGCCATCTTTAGAGAAATCACTAAAAGTACTAAAAGTAGAAGAATATATAATGATCAAGTGTGAAAATGGGAAACAATGGGATATTAAATAAAGTTAGTAGAGTAATATACACCGATGGTGCCCTGCTGACCAGTGCACTTGTACTACAGCCGTTCTGAGCGTTTTTGCTAATAGCTCACAGTTTTCCTTATCTGAAGAATTACCCTTAGTCAAAGAGAAACCAGCTCTCCCAGGTATTGCTCCCAGCCCCAACAAAAAGCCAAAGGCAATGACTGACTAATGCAGGGCAAAAAAAGGCTAGCACCTTTGGCAAAAGGTTGAACCAATTCTAGGGTACAATTTGAACTTCAAAATTTCTGTAACCACATCTTAGTTCACCTCTTCTCCTTGCCTTATCTTGCTCCCCTCCGAAAGCATTTGTTCAATAAATTAAGTGTATCCAAATCCATCTCAGGCTCTGTTTCTAGAGAACCTAACCTAAGACTCTTGGTTGATCAAAACGAAAGCAAGGAAAGGAAAAGGAACATAAAACAAATGAGGCAAATAAATATTAAAGATATAATAGATGTAAACCCAAATATCAGCCAACCGTATTAAAATATAAATGGTCTAAATATTCTAGTTAAAATATAAAGATTGTCAGGTGATAAAAATATTTTTAAGAAGGTCTAACTATATGCTAATGAGAAAATAACACATATATAAAAGGAAGGAGAAAGATATAGTATACAAACACCAAAAGAAAACTGGTTTTACTATACTAATGTCAGATAAGATCTATTTTAAGGCAAAAGACATTCCTAGAGATAAAAAGAGATCTTTAATAATAATAAAATGCCCCATCTACCAGGAAGACATAAAAATTCTATTGCATAGACATACTAATATAGCTTCACAATATGAAAGCTAAAAATTGACAGATTTAAAAAAAATACACAAATCTACAATCAGTGAGGGAGAATTTAACACATCTAATTTGAGAACTGACAAAAAAAGCATCCAGAAAATTACTAAAGCTATATAGATATTCTGAGCAACACAGTTAATAAAATAAAAATATTGTTTTGTTAAAATGCACCAAATGATGACAGAATACACAATTTTGGCAACTGTATATGGAACATCTATAAAATACATCATATTTTGGGCCAAAAAGCCAAACCCAACACATCTAAAAGGATTCCAATACTCCAAATATATTATTTGATAATAGTGGAATGAAGGTAGAAGTCAGTAACTAAAAGATAAATATAAAATCTTCAAATGTCTAGAAATTAACATTTTCTATATAACCAATGAGTTAAAGATGAAGTTATAGTATCTATTAAAATATTTGAGCTGAATAATAATCAAAATATAATATTTTTTAAAAGATTTGTTTATTTTAGAAAGAAAGAACTGGGGGAGGGCCAGAAAGAGAAAAAAACAATCTTCAAGCAGACTCCCTGCTGAGCACAGTGTCCCATGCAGGGCTTGAGCCCAGGACCCTGAGATCATGACCTGAGCCAAAACCAAGAATCGGATGCTCAACCAACTGAGCCACCCAACTGCCCCTGAAATACAATATTTTGAGACATAATTTAGTTATTACTGTGCTGAGATGGAAATTTGTGACTTAAATTCATACATTAAGAAACTGAAAAACCCGAAAATCAATTGTTTAGGTATTCATCTCAAGAACTAGGAAAAAGAAACCAAATTAAATTCAAGAAAGAGTAAAGAAGAAAAAATAAAAATAAAGAATAAGTAATAATAAAGATAATAAATACTAAAAGGACTACTAAAATGAAACAGAAAACATATGCAATAGAAAAATCAGTAAGTCAAAAAGTTAACTATTTGGAAAGAGCAATGAATTGATATTCTCCTAGCAAGATTAAGCAATGAAAAACAGAAAAAGCACAAATAACTTATGTCATGAACAAAACAGGGAGTATTACCATAGGTCTCACAGAGGCAGAAAAATATTTGGCAAAATGTAAGACTGCAGGGGAGAAAAAATAATCTCTAAGCAAACTAGGAATAAAAGAAATTTTTCTGTAACAAAGAACATGTACCCAAAAAATACAAATTAATAAAAAGAAGGAATTACTTTAAACTGACAGAGAATATGTATAAAAAACTGTCGCAGAAAAGATACTTAACTGTGAAATATTGAAAACTTTCCCCAGATTTTCTTTCCCACCATCACCGTTTGTATTCAACATTTCACTGCCCATTGTACCCAGTATTATAAGGATAGATGAGAGAGAGAGAGAGAGAGATGATAGATAGATGGTAGGTAGGTAGATAGATAGATAGATAGATAGATAGATAGATGATAGACAGAGATAGATGATAGATAGATAAAATCAATAGTTGAATGGATGAATAAATGGTAATATATTTGTACAATGAAATACTATGCTGCCACAAAAAGTAACAAAATGGCTACACCAAACAGTATGAATTAATCTCACAAACATGGTGATGAACTAAAGCGAGGCACAGAAAGGTCTACACCATATGATTCCATTTTTATAAATGTCCAAAATTTGTAAAAATAAACTGGTGAAGATATAAATCAGGATAATAGTTAACTTGGTAGCAGTAATCACTAGGAAGGAAACAAGTGGGAGTTCTGGAATGCTAGATTCGTGTTCTATTTATTTGATGATTGGTTACATGGCTTTACTCTTATAACTTGTGCTCCTCTCTTTCCTCTTTCTCTTTTTAATAAAATATTTAGAAAAAAATGTATAATATCTATTAGGTATGCTTGGGTCTTTCAGAAAAACAATAAAAATGTTATTATAGACAACAGATTAAATTTTATGAGATAATTTACTGAATTATTGTCCCATTTACATTTTAGTAATATATTAAGAGTATTCATTTTGATCAACATTTTATGGTGATCAAAATAAATAATGGCTATATTGTACAAATATAGTCACAATTTAATAAGTGAAATACAGAAAATTGAGAAAAGCTATAAACCTGGTCACAAATAACTTTAGATAATCTTTTAAGTCTTCATTATTATTATTTCTTACCCTAGGAGTCTGGTCTTCAAAATGTGATGGGAAAGATTTTTTTCTAGTAGTGAGGAGAAAAAAATGTACAGAAGTCTTCCTTATCCATGGTTTTATGTCCCATGGTTTCAGTTACCCACAGTCAACCACTGTCTAGGAGATGATCCTCCTGACATATCAGAAAGTCAGTAGTAGTTCTGTGCTATGTCACAATGCCAACATCATTCACCTCATCTCATTGTGTAGGCCTTTTATCATCTCACATCATCACAAGAAGGATGAATACAGTACAATAAGATAATTTGAGAGAGAAAACACATTTTTATAACTTTTATTGTACTATTTTATTATGTTATACTTGTTAATCTCTTACTGTGCTTAATTTATAAATTAAACTTTCATAGGTTTGTATGTACAGGAAAAACACTGTGCATATAGGATTTGGTACTATCTGTGGTTTTAACAACTAGAAGCTTTGGAACATATTCCCCACAGATAAGGGAGGACTACTATAACATTTAGATCTGTTACCTAGTGGAGGCAACAGAAATCTTTGAAGTGTGGATAAGGTAAGCTAAGTCACCTTCCTAAAGAGAACCCCAGCACTTCAGTAATCTCATTTTGTCTTAGATTAAAAAAACAAAAACAAAAACCCACACAACAAAACAACAACCCTAAATACACTTTTTAGCAGTGACAACACAAAAAGAAATACAGAATTTTAAGTTTTTTCTATTTTGATGGAGATCATTATAGGTTATGACAGTCTAGAGAGGCTTGTGAGATAAATGGAAAGCAGGAAAACTGCGGATTTCTTTTGAAGCACTTGGGATCTAAGTTGAATGGGGTTTCTGATCTACCACATTACATCACTTCTGGTAGTATCAAATTTATATTTACTAAGCACCACAAAAATTTTGTGGCAGACTTCTTATCCCAGTCTAACACAGAAACATATGAAAATTGATTAAATGCTTGGCTTACCGAGAAGCATAATAGTCCACTTATATGCACATAAAAAGACATATGAACATGCATATAAAAATATGAATTGTAGGGGTGCCTGGATGGCTCAGTCGTTAAGCATCTGCCTTCGGCTCAGGTCATGATCCCAGGGTCCTGGGATCGAGCCCCACGTCGGGCTCCCTGCTCCACAGGAAGTCTGCTTCTCCCTCTCCCTCTCCCACTCCCACTCTCCCTGCTTGTGTTCCCTCTCTCTCTGTGTCTTTCTCTGTCAAAAAAAATAAATAAAATCTTTTAAAAAATATGAATTGTTTTTTAACATATCTGTTTATGCCCAAAACAAGAAAAAGTATACAATAAAATAGGATTTTTTTCCTGCTGTAATAAAAGGCTTTCCCTCTCACCTCTTCTCTTTCTTTCCCTCAAAAAAAAAAAATCCAATTTTACAAAAAGTATAACTGGAATTTAGATAGCATGGAAAGAAAGTAAACAAATAATACCATACATTTAGAGAATGCTATTGGAAAAATGTCTGAGATAAACAAATGGAGAATGCTGCTATGAATCAAATTGGGCAATTTAGTTATTTTTTTCTATAAAGCATAAAAGATATCAGAGTGGGAAAAGCAATAAGTCATCCTTGGAAATTGAACAACAATAAAAATCATCCACAAGTATTCATACAGTTAGTTCCCTTTTAGACAAAAATTTTAGAGAAAATATAGACAGAATTTTATACAGAATTTTTAAAAAAATATTAAAACCTCTGAATGTTTTTTGTTGTGGTGGGTGATTGAATAAGCGATATGGTAAATAATGATCTTGATTCACCATAAACATTGACATGCTTTTTCAATAACCAAATATTAAAATAGTTTCAATAAACATTTATACATTGTATACATATAACACATTGCTACTAATTTTTCTTTAGTCAATTATCTTTTACAGTAATTAAAATAAGAAAAATAAATTTTATATTCACCTTTATTTTTACCATTTCCAACATTTTTGAGTGTGTGTATAGATCCAAGTTTCTGTCTGGTATATTCTTTCTGTCCAAAGAACCACCTTTATCATTTCTTGGAGTGAAAGTTTGCTGATAATGAATTCTCTACTTTCTTGTCCATGAAGTGTTTATTTCTCCTTTTCCAGTGATATAGTAACTGGGTGCTAATTTCTGGGGTGGTAAGGTTTTCCCGCCTTTCAGCACTTTCAAAGAAGATACTCCATCATCTTCAGGCTTAGATCGTTTTTAATAAGTCTGCCTAAATTCTGACCTTTGTTCCTCTGTGTATAACCTGTCTTTTCCACTCTCTGCCTTCTAGATTTTATATTTAGCTTTGGTTTTTAATAGTTTAAGTGTGATGTGTCTAGGTATTTTCTTCTTCCCTCCCCCCCTTCCTCCCTCCTTCCCTCCTTCCTTCCTTCTTTCCTTCCTTCCCTCCTTCCTTGTATTTTATTCTGCTGAGTGTTCTATAAGCTTTTCAAATCTATGATTTAAAGTCTTTTATTATTTGGGAGAAATTCTAGCTATTTTCAAATATTTCTTCTCCTCATTATTTTCTTTTTCATTCTGGGATTCCAATAGCTCATATATTAGACCATTTGACATTGTCCCATGGTTCTTGGATGCAGTGGCTTTTCTCTCTTTCTCTCTCTTTGTATTTTAGTTTAAATACTTTCTTTTGACTTATCTTTATCTTTGCTACTGTAGCTTTATTTCTGGTATTTTTATTTCATACTTTCCTATCATTTCTATTTCTCTGCTAAAATTTTCCATATGCCCTTGTACATTGGCCATCTTTTTACACTTTTACACTAGAACCTTTAACGTATAAATCATTTTTTTTTCTTTTTAATGCCCTGCCTAATAGCGCCAGCATCTGGGTTCTACAGATTATATTGTCTCTTGACAGAGGTAGTTTTCTCTTGCATTTTTGTGTACCTTGTAATTTGTGGTTAAAATCTGGGTATCATGTGTGGGAGAGTAAAGTCTGAGGTATATAACATTTTATGCCTGGAATTGGACACACCTCCACTACACATTTAATGTGGGGAGTTGAGTCAATGTAATCAGGCTTGACTAGGATCTGGGATTTGCTAGTTCTATTTACCTTAAGCACACTATTAGCTTCTGATTCCTCTAGCATTACCTTGTACTTAAGGTAGAGGTTGAGTTTCTAAAGGACATTTTTCAATGTTTCATTTCCACTCTCAAGTTTGGTCTTCTTCTGTGAACCTGAGCTTCAAAGAACGTCTCTCTTTCTTCTTGCCCTTCCCCCAGTGATAGACTGCTGTTATTTGTTATTCATTGTTAGCTAACCTGTTGGTAGAAGATGGGAATATTCTTTATTTCTTTCTTTATTCTCAGCCTTAGGCAAGACCTGTCCCTTTCTGTCTTATAGAAAGAGCTTTCTTGGTAATTCTGCCCCTCAACCAGCAGAAGTAAATCTATAGGGGTGTATAGGGAAGGATATATATGTATAGCATATATATGTATATACATACGTATGTATGTATAGGGAAGTAAAATAAAGTAAATGCTAATGTAAACTATAGTCTTTGGGTGATTATGCTGTGTCAGTGTAGGCCTATCAATTGTAACAAATGTACCACTTTGGTGGATTGTTAATGGGGGGGGAGGAGCTATGCATGTATGGGGGAAGGATTATGTGGAAAATCTCTGGGCCTCTCTCTTAATTTTGCTGTGAATCTAAAACTGCTGTAAAAAAAATAAAGTCCTTAAAAAATTCCTAAATACCACAATAAATGCCAAAATAGAACAATTCTACCTAGTGAAAATGTGTATGTGTGTACACATATTCTTCTACGTGTAGAAAAATATGCACAGAATAAATATAACATAAAACTTGACTGAACTGGACCAAAGGTATAGGTTTTTGATTAAATGTAAATAGAATATCACACTTATTACAAAATTCAGGTTGGCTACCAAAGCAAAATATAACTCTAATCTGTGTTTATGGAAACATCCAAAATAAGAAGACTCAGAAGGATGATGATAAAGACAAAATGATGGCAAACAGAAATGTACATGAATAAACAAATAGCAGGAATCACAATCATGTTTTCAAATAAGGCATAATTTAGCCCCCAAATATGAAATGAGACCAAGAAAAGTACACTTCACGATGCTAAACACTAAAATGCATAACAAAAATGTTATTGATATCTATCCATAAAATACTGGAAGTCCTAGCCACAGCAATCAGATAAGAAAAAGAAACAAGAAGCATTCATATTGATACAGAAGAAGTTTAACTGTCACTATTTGCAAATGATGTGCTACTATACATAGAAAATTCTAAAGACTCCAACAAAAAAACTACTAGAAGTAATGAATGAATTCATCAAAACTGCAGGATACAAACTTAATCTCCAGCAATCAATAGTGTTTCTATACATTAATAATAATGTAGCAGAAAGAGAAATTAAGGAAACAATTCTATTTACAATTGCATCAAAAAGAATAAAATACCTAGGAATAAACTTAATGGAGGAGGTGAAAGACTTATACTCTGAAAACTATAAAACATTAATGAAAGAAACTGAAGATGACACAAACAAATGCAAAGATATTCCATGCTCACGCATTGGAAGAATTAATATTGTTATAACGTCCATACTACCCAAAGCAATCTATGGATTCAGTGCAATCCCTATCAAAATACCAACAGTATTTTTCACAGAACTAGAAGAAATAATGCTACAATTTGTATGGAACCACAAATTTGTATGGACCCTGAATAGAAAAAGCGATCTTGAGAAAGAACAAAGCTGAAGGTATCACAATTCCAGATTTCAAGATATGCTACAAAGCTATAGTAATCAAAACAATATGGTACTGGCACAAAAATAGAAACAGAGACCAAAAGAACAGAATAGAGAGGCCAGAAATAAACTCATACTTAAGTAGTTGATTAATCTGTAACAAAAGAGGTATAAATATACAATGGGGAAAAGACATCTTTTCAATAGATGGTGCTGGTACAGCTACATGTAAAAAAATGAAACTGGATCACTTTCTAACATCATACACAAGAATAAACTCAAAATGGATTAA